ACACACACACACACACACACACACCCCTACTGCAATCCAACAAGAAAAAGACGTTCACCTTACAGAAAAGTTGTCAGAGAGCATGGGCATACATACAGAAGAAAACTATGAAGCCTCAAGTCTTGTGACAAGAAGCACAAGAAAGCTGTCTTGACATCAATACAACAGAATGGCTCAGAGGCAGTGTGCAGATCTTGGATCAAATGTGGCATCCTCAGGGCCACAGAAGCTGGGGTGTCTTAGAAAACAGGAGATGGCAGAACATGTTCAAAAAAAGCAAGCAGCAGGCCTAAGCCTTTCTGAAGCCTTGCTAAAGACACTTGATTGGTTTGGCATAATTTCCTATCCCTTTTCTTCTAAACTTACAACACAGGGGAAGGGGGCATCAAAGGAGATGTGGAAAGAATAGAGCAGAGAAAGACAAAAGCCAAGAACGGCTACAAAAAAGAATATTGCAAGCATTATGGTAGCATTCATTGGGAGGAAACATCAAGCAAATTCAAAATTTTAGAATATTTAAGATTTTGTTAGTTTTAATTGTTGCTATAGATATAGAAAGAGAAAAAAAAGAAGGGTCGTTGCCTCCTTAAGACCCACAAACACTGAAGGATCAAGGAACGAAGGTATACCCTAAGACCTTTCCATCTTCGGTTTTGAGTGAAGAAAATGGATAGTCATAGTCAGACAGGCAAAGATTGGGTCTCCTGGAATAAAAGATGAGGGGAAGATGAAAATCAGAGTGGAAAGTAAAAGTCTTGGAAAATGAAAGAGACAATAGAATCTCACAAAATCAGGAAGCCTCTAAATGGAAAGAAGAAAATCCAGCACAGGGCAAGACTTGGCAGACCAGCTCTGGGGTTCATTTCTCCAGGAATGCTCCCTGGGCCTAGCAAAAGCTGTCTCATCTCAAAGGCATCCCCTGTCCAGAGATGAGAGCAGTGATTTGGGGTAGGGAGACCTAACATCTCACAATGGTGATATTAACAATTTCCTCTCTCTCTCTACCAAAGGTATAACTCAGAATCTGTACCTTATTCAAGTTGATGCTTTTCAGACTTAATAAGCCTGTGGGATGCTAGCCTCATCTTTCTTTCTCCTTGAAGCTCTGTCCCTATGACGTGGCAGTAAAAAAAGTGTGAAAAGATTCTATTCTATCCATTCCTCACTGGGACAAACATCTCTCGGTTAGTGACGTATGTACCTGGTAGTCTACTTAGCTCTGGTGAAATAAAAATAAATTAATTCTCATTATGGCATACCCATCTAGCAGGAGGAAAAACACATGATGATTACATAACAGAACATGACAAAGTGATTATTCTCAAACTGAGAAGGTAGAGATGCTGGCTTTCAATGGTACATTCTTATTGATTTTTCTATAATATGGAAAAACTTACCTAATCAAATGTTGAAATGTTATAATGGAAGCACAGTGTTAGAAGTACTTACTAGTGCTTAACCCCAAATTAGGTTTGTTCAATCAATGAAGGTGTCATCCTTTTCTCCATGATCATTAGTGGGTGCACAACAAAATGAGTCCATAGGTAGAGACATTTGGTTAACATAATTAAATGAAAGAAAACAAATTCATTGCTTCATTAACTGGCATTACTAAGACACTTTTTACAACATAATTCTTTGAGATTGGATATAACATGTAGAACCATCCAGGTTTATTTAGTCATAGGACTTTCCTCTAGCACTAGTGTCATAAGAACTCAACAGTGAAAAATAATGGATCAGAGATGACTTTTGTGGCAAGGTTATCACCAGGGAGTAACATGACATTATATATAATGCTTCCCTTCCTAAGCAGAAATTTACGTTTCTCATGAACATGTTTTGTAGTCATTAGCAGATACACTGGGTAGGGGGTTATGAAGGCTCCAATAACTTGTTGAAGAATCGAAGCACAGACACGAGCCGATTTATTTTACATCCAAGCATATTGACTTACTTCAATGACGTGCATACACTAAAATCTAAAAACTCAAAGAGCATTTAGTTAAATACCCTGAAATATAAAACTTTCATGTCTAGAACCTCATGGGCTACACAGGGAGAAAGCAGAAGTAGAACCATGTGAGGACTTTTCTTACTTTATCAGACTAATCCTTTCTTGTACAAGATCCAGTGCTAGCTAGATATTGGAGCCTAAGCATTCAGAAGTGTGCCTGAGTAGATGTTAAAGCAAAACATACATCATTCTCATCTCAATAAGTTTTTCATTCCTTCTAAAACTGTGCTCACTGTACAAGGTACACATATGTCTATTGATAGCAACTACCAGATATAATCTAACTTTTGCTTTTAGTGTGAGGAGCAGATGACTACGTAGTCACCCCAGATGTCTTTAAAGATGTACTCATAAACATGGTTTCCCTGAGAGTGTGATGATAGATATTTCCAATATTGCCTTTTAATTGTTTATATCTTCACATAATCCTAGAACATTTTTGTACCACGTTATATTACTTACATATGCATTGACCTCTCTAATCAAACCATGAGCTCATTGAAGCTGAAACTGCACATTTTTCATTTTTATATCCCATGTGCAAATTCAGAAGGTCCTGGTGTGCCATTCTAAAGAGCTTGGACCTAATCCCAAGAGCAATTGGAAGTACTGGAGGTTTTTAAATAGGGTCAGTCTTTAATAGGACTAGATTTGCATTTAGAAAGCCCTTTGGCTGGATTGTGGAAAGTAGATTAGAGGCAGGGAGCCAGGTGGCAGTGAGGCCAGTGTGAAGGCAGTAAGAGTAGTGGAGGTGAGAGATGCTGTGTCTGAACTAGGACGGTAGAGGAAGGAGTACCCAGAGGTTGTCAGGACATGGGCTGAGTCTGATAACTCATGAAATGCCATACACAGAGAAGGTGTAGGTTTACGTGACTGACATTTCTAGCTGTGATTACACTAAAGCCTGGGAAGGAGAATGTTGGGAAAGAAGAAGATTAAAATGTTCCTTATAAGCAGACCTCTATCTGAAAGTTAATTCCCATTGGACCTATAGACAGAAGACAATCCCTAACTCAGCATCAAGCTAGCCTCTAATTCTTTGTTTATGAGTTAGCCATTCAGACATTGGAACACATTTGTCAAGAAACAAACAAACAAACAAAACCCAAAACAAAACAAAATACAAACCCTCACTTGAGATCTTGATTGAGCCAGCAGCCCAGAGACTATTTATTTCTCAGTGTCCAACAAATATGGCCACCTTGCTGTGGAAATGGGAACAAGGTTGACTAGAAAGCCCTGGATACATGGAGAGGAGGTGTAAGACCCAGATCAAGAAACTCCATGTCCTGTTGTTTTCCTTTAGGTCTACTTTTCTCTGTAAAATAAAAACTCAGATTGATCCTCTACTTACCTAAGAGAACACCGGTAAAGCTCAAAGGAGATGGTCTGCTAGAAAACAACTTGCATGCTGCATCTTATGAATCTAAATTTGAAATCATATCTTGAGTTATCGGGTCTCCGCAAGGGAATGTGATCTGGAGAGCTGCGGTTGAAAGGCAGTTGGGTTTATTTATTGATGTCAGATGAATACTCTACATCAATATAGTAAAACTACATTATGTCCCATTCCTATCCCAACTGTAAAACCTGGTTTGAAATCCCAGTGTCACTGAAGGCTCATTTCCTTTGTGTGAAGTTGTTGGAGATACCTTTGTCTCTTTGGCTATTAGACAGCTCTGGCTATTCTGTCTTTGGGTCAATGCATACTCTACACTACCCTTACTACTACTCCACCACCCAAGGTATCATCATTTGTCCTATAGATAGTGACAAAAATCTCCTAACTTCCCTCATTTCTAGTCTTTTTCCACAGTATAATCACCAATGTGGCCTCATGTGAGATTCCAATGATGCCAGCATTTTGCTTAAATCTCTGCAATGATTGAAATAAAATCAGAAATTCTTTTTTATTTAAATTTGCTTTTTGAAAAATTCTATCCGTAAGTACTGCATTTATATCATTTCTATACCCATCTCCCTCTCTAACTTCCTCTCAAATTCATGACCTCTTCATCTTTAATAATTATTGTTATGTCTGGCTATCTATCTATCTATCTATCTATTTATCTATCTATTTGTAAAGACAACCTGATGAGACCATTTAGTGTTGTTTATACACATGTGTATGTAGGGTTGACAACTCAGGGTTGGATAATCTGTCGGGAACCAGTCCCTGGAGAAGGCTAATTCTCCCTCTCTCAGTAGCCATTACTTATCTGTACCTCTTCATCCAGGGGTAGGATCTTGTGAAATTTCCATCAACATTGGCATACTAACTGATGTTGTCACTGTGTAGGTCTTGTTTATATGATCACATTATTAAGATCTCCTAAGTGCATCTTCCATATCACTTATAAAAGACATTATCTCACAACAGACATCCTGGTCCTCTGCCTCTTACAATTTTACTTCTCGCATTTTGCTTATAGTTCCTGGGTCTTAGGTATAGGGGTTGTGTTGTAGTTGTATTATTTGGGGTTGTGCCTCTTATAGCTAGTGGTTCTCTACATTTTGTACAGTTTCAGATTTCCATAATGGTCTTTATATACTACAAAAGAAACACATTTGATGAGGGGGTGAGAGCTTTAATGATCTGTGAGTATAAGGATAACTATTTAGAATTCATTTAGGAATTATACTGGTTTACAAAAGTGGCAATAGTAGGTTCTCCTCTTGAATGCATAATGTCACCAGTTGGTGACACACAGTGTCAATCATGAATTCACTCCAAATTGAGTAGGCCTTAAGTCCAACTGTTGTTAATCCTCAAGATGTAAGTACCATGTCCTCGATGATATCTTACCATGCTGATCATTGTTGTGGTCTTTAGGATTTACAGATGGGTAAGACTATTGATTGTTTTTCTTCTTTTGCAACTTACACAGCACCTTCTAATTCTATCCAAGCTGGATTTCAAGAGTGAGGATTTCAGGTTGGTTTTAGCTTGATTACTCCAAGTCCTGAGTCTGAAATATGTGGTGTTTTTAGTAATTGGGTCTTACCTTCAAGATCTAGGAAGTAAGCAATGACAACATCAGCAGTCTCTACTATTTTGGGAGTGTCTCGAACTACTCTTTACCAACAACTCTAAGGGGAATTCCCATGTCTGACACTGGAGTTTTATTAGTCTATGGAGCTTAGAAAGTGTCATCACCTTAAGCGGCATATCTTTATTAAATTAAATGTGTGTATATTCACACATACACACACACACACACACACGCATGTGTGCATGTATGTATGTATGTATGTATGGATGGATGGATGGATTTTTAGGTAAACTTAAAATATATTCCTGCTTTTCAAACTTCCTTAGTTCTCTGTGTCTCTGTCTATCCCCCACCTCTTTCTTTTGTGCTCTATCTATCTATCTATCTATCTATCTATCTATCTAATCTCTCCCTTTATATTATTCTCTTTCTCCTCTTCCCAGTTAATGTACACCTCCCCATAGTGGTAGTCTGCTCATTTCTTTCTTGACTCTAGTCTTAACAACCCTTTTTGTTGCTGTTGTTTGTTGGTTGGTTGGTTGGTTGGTTGGTTGGTTGGTTGGTTGGTTCGTTCGTTCGTTCGTTCGTTCGTTGGCTTGGTTTGGTTTGGTTTGGTTTGGTTTGGTTTGGTTTGGTTTGGTTTGGTCTGATTTGGTTTGGTTTGGTTTGGTTTGGTTTGGTTTGGTTTGGTTTGGTTTGGTTTGGTTTGGTTT